TGGGAAATAAGAAATTGACAGACCTGGGAAGCAGGATATAGAGATGTCACAGGTGCCGTGCTCAGCATCCTGCGAGGTACAGAGCTACCCACCGACCTCTCCGCTCTCACATCCCTGCCACCTTTTTCTTCGTCCCATGCCCCGCCCAGGGGAAATTTTTCTGCTCTGAGAGGAGTACTCCCCTTCTGGTTCTTCTGAACAGTTTGCCTGCACCATCCCCTTAAAGATTTAGGCTTTTGGAAACCAGAAAGCCAGAAATATTTTTCCTGCTTTCAAATGGTCCTCCTTGTCCCCATACATAGTCCGCTGGGAGGATGGGGAAGGGATAGAAGACCAAGAAGGTTTAACAAGTTGCGTACCATTTTATCTTCTCCTCACAGATTTTTCAGAATGAGAAAGATCTAAATTTGAGTAAAACATTATTTGCCTTTCTATTTAAACATTTTTGACACGAAATGTAGAATATTGAAAGTTCAAATCCTTTAAGTAAAGAGTGAAGTCAGAACCATAGCCGAGTAGTGGTTTTCCCTGGGTGACAGGAATGATAAGGAATATTTATTCCTTGTTTACATTAACTGTTTTTTATAAATTTTCTACATTATACTCAAGATTTTTTTTTTAAGTCCTAGCAATTTATGTTAAGGGAAAAGGAAATACGCTGTTTTGACACATTTCTTCAAGTGGAGGAATTTATTTCTATGAATTTTTCTAGTTGAATCTGCAGTGTAAGATTTCAAACAATGATCCCCATTGAGATCTGAAAGCAAGCCAGAGTTACTTTCTGGCCACATTTTAGTGCATGACAATAGCCAAGCAACTTATAGTATTTACTCCTTTTTTTTTTTTTTAAGTAAAAATAGAAACTGCTAGTAATGCCCTAACCAGGGATTTTAACTATGTTGCACTTGACTCAACCAATTGGCCTGAAGAGTTTCAAGGCACTTAAATACAAAATAAAAACTTTTCGTCAATGGGTTTGACTAAAAATGCTTTGCTGAAAGGGTGCATATCCCTCTCGTACTTACATCATAACCTTATGCTGTTTTCAGCTGCTTACGTGGTGGAAACTAATCACTAGGCTGAGACAGTGTGAAAGGAATCAGAAGCTTTATTTGCTTTTCAGCTCCAGCAGACATAGTTTAAGTGGGTTGAGTCCAGAAGATGTGAATTCCTACCGGATGCAATAATGCAATAATCCATAGGTCTCGAGTAGCATTGCCCGAGTGTTGACTTACTTGATAATGCTTTAAAAATTACATTTTTCATTACTGGCCACAGGGTTAGGTGGGGGTTTATCCTGTGAGCAGACACAGGCGGACGGGTACAGTACATGCCGATGCGGTGATGGAATGTTGTCAGAATGTAATTTCCTGCTTCTAAATCTTGTGACAGGTGCATCACATTTCTGGGTTCAGAAGTTATTCCCCAGTGATGTAACTAGAGAGAACGTATCACAGGAACATCACCGTTTGATATTTGCACAGCTCTTCTCCAAGGATATGTTTCACTTCTTTTTTGGCCCCTAGCTTATGAGCACTACAAATGTGTTTTTGTAAAACATCGTAGCAATATTTGCCTCATGTGGCTGGTGTCAGTCAGTTGGAGTTTGCGTATATAAAGTGCATTAAACACACATCACCCATGCCTTCTTTTTCAGTGGGCGTTACAATCTTTATCATTGTATTTTTATTTGTCATTCAACAGACGTTTAGTGCATTGAAAGACTGGGGGAGTCTAGTATGGGTATGGCTTTTTTTTTTTAACTATATTCCTGAGTTACAAAGATGTATGAATATACATTCATACATTATGCATATGCATACAAACACATATATATGTGGCTGCCCTTCTCCAAGCGAGTTGCTTTATCGAGCTCAGCCCTTCCTGATTGCAAGCGTGTAGAGGCAGGGATACAGGCAGATGAACTGAAGTCCCATGAAGCGTTACGCTAAGGTCTGTCTGTAGTGTTATGAGTGTTCCTTTCCAAAAAACTCATTAGAGCCATTGTGAACAGCTATGTTTTGGGAACTTTAGTTTTGGAGTTCTTTGGCTTTAGAATAATACCTCGCTGGGAACCATCACCCAGCTTAATCAGCTCTTTTATTCACCATATTTGGCTCTCGAAGCTTTTTGGCTGTCTGCAAAGATCAAATGTGCCCTCAAAGGGCCAAACTGGCTGCTATAGAGACCATTCAAAAGAATATGCCCAAGGCTGAGAAGGCAGTTGCAAGAAAGACACGAGAACTTAAGAAGGCTTTCCTCCAAAACGCTTCGAACAATGGCTGCATGATTGGAATAAGTGTGCAGACCCCAGGGTGGCTGCATGGGGGACAGTCCTCACCGAGGATGTCTGTTAAAAATCCATGTGGTCTACTCAGTAGCTCAACTTTATGTACACACACACAAACACACACACACACACCCCCAACCCTTGCACAAAGATAAACAGTTGTGAACCTCAGACTCTTTAAGTTTTTCCAGGCCTCTATTGCCTGTTTATAGGTTCTGTTCCCGTCCCCTCTGTGTCAGCATTACCTCCCGCTTTCCCTCTTTCTCTCTTTCCCTGAGACTCCTAAGTTGATGACGCCAGTCGGTAGCATTAGTGGCTGAGATGCGTGTTGATCAGGACGTATAATACGGGCTTTGAAAAGTAGTATGCAGAGATTTTGGAGGGGAAGGTATATGACAGAAATGATATATCCCTTTATTTCCTGCTCTTTGAACATACTACTTGTGGAAGATTACAAGGATGCTTTCAGAGGGGCCCAAAGCAGTAGATTTCCCCATCTGGTGAAGCCATTTTTTTTCTGTCTCTCCTCACCGGGCCCCCAGTCTCCACCCTTCGGCAGCCATTCAGGTTGGCACATGTGATAACAAAGCTGGATATAGTTTGTTACTGTGCTAAGCTGTCCATTCAGCCGCTCCGGATAAGAGCCAGATGTGAGATGAAAAGCATGCCGTGTACCCTTAACTTTTCCCATTTTATATAAATCGGCACTTTGTTTGTCTCAAGCCTTTTAATAAAGTACGGCCTTCCTAACCCAGTTTTGGGCTCAGATACATGAAGCTGTGTTGAGCTGTATCTAGAAACCCTGGTAGGAACATTTGGATAGATTGCAACACGCGTTCAGGAGAAACTTAAAAGTAAGATCTCTGGGACTTTTGAAAGGCTAGATTTTCCTCTCACTTGCAGAAACCACATCAAGTAAATCCTATTTCTCTGGCAATTAAAGATATAAGCCTGGAGTTTTTGTTTTGTTCTTACCTTGGTGTCTCCATGTCAAGTCTTTATTTGTAAGTAGAAAAATAGACTGTTTATCTATCATTTAGGGGTGGAGTTAATATTGTGAAATAAACAAAAATCTCATTTGGTGGATTTCAGCCTACCTGAAAGCCATTATGTAGATGGTGAATGCTGACTGGTCCCAGCCATACTCTTCTTCAAAGAGGAGAGAGAGAAAAACAAAGTTGCGCTGGTCAACACTGACTGTGTGGACGTTAGTCTGTTGCTCTCCTTGGGGCGGATGTGGATCATTACTGCGGCGTGTCGATCATAACACAAGGCGTGGCCTTGTCGCCGCCCCTTCACTGGGAAAGACGTCTTGCCCATCACTCAAGGTTCCTCCCCTCTACCCCAGCCTACACTTGTAGACTTGACGCCCTCACCCCTTTGCAGGTACCTCGTGCTCTAAAACCACGTTCCCCCTGTGGCCTGCTCGGGGCTGCGCTCTCAGCTCCCTGCGCTTTGTCTGGCCCTGTGCCCTCGGTGGGAAGTGTGCTTTGTCTCTTCCATCCATTCCGCTCATAGGTAGTGAGTTCCTGCTGTGTGCCTGCCCTTGTGCTGGGCGCTGGACACACAGTGCTGAAGCGGCACAGACACCATCCCCATTTCCACCTCCCCAGATGATTCCATTTCTTCCAAAACAAGCCAGGTGTGTGGGCGAGATGCTTCCTTTACATTCTAAGCGAGAAGCGTTCTTCCCTCCTCTGGGCACTTAGAGCTTTTTGCCTGCGTGCATCTATTCTGGGATTCACCCTGTCTCTACTTTGCATTTTATTTGTGAACAGAGCTTACCGTCCTTTCTAGAATTTCTAGAAAGCAGGGCCTGGAGCAGAATTCACCTTTGTATCCTCTATCATTTTTAATGCAGCCATATACTTCTTCAGCAAGCATTTACTGATTTGCTACTCTGTGCCGCCTAACAGTCTATCAATCTTGAGATTTATTGATACCTTTTGGGTGCATGAAAAATTGGGACCTCAGAAGGACTATCCCACGTTAGTACTTGAGAACAAAAGCAACTTTCTGAGGTTGAAAAAGTGTCTCCTCTCTGGAGGCAAGTGGTTAACATCCCTCCCTTGAGGCCTGAATTTTTAAATTGCATAGAAGAAATGTTGCATTCCTGCCAGGATGACTTCTTTCCATTGGACCAAATTGGAACCCTTTTCTTTATTTAATGATCAACTAGGTCTGTTTTGCTTGCATCTCCGCTTGCATCTCAAATTCTCTTGTCAAACCATGTCACCTTAAAAACTGATTTCAGATTTTGCAATGTTAAGCCCTGCAACTTCAAATTCTAAAATCTGCAGTTGATTTTTAACCAAGAGAAGATCAAGCGTAGCCTGCCTGTAACCTGCTTACCATATTTTGTAGCTGTTTTACACAATACCTGTAGTGGACATTTTTGTTTTGATCATAAGGACATCAAAGTGTTTTGTATTTTTGTATTGCTAAACCTCTGAAACCTCCAAACCACATCGATTTGTTTACTGACTTAATATTGACTATTTTGAGTTTGTGATCGCTTTAGACTCTTGCGTTTTGAAAGAAAAGAAGTTAAACAGAGTTTGTTGATTTTACTTAAGTACACAGTACTGTTTGTGCCTGTAACTTCAGTTTATCTGGTGCTGTCCCTTTTTAAAGAAAAAACGCCCCAAAAGTGAGTGAACGTGCATTTTGAGATGCCCGTGGTGACACATTCTTTCGTTTTCCTTTTCAGAATGAAGACCTAAATGACCTCAGCAAATCCTCCTTTAACTCATGGGTACCCAGACTCTAAATATTTCACGATTCACAGCCAGGACCTCACCTTCCTCCTCCGTAGATGGTACGATGCATTCATTTCAGTTTGTTTACTTTACACAATCCTCAGGAGTTTGTTAACTGAACTGCACGTTCTCTGTCGTGCCAAGAAAAAAGCACTGTGACACCAGAACAATGAGTCTGCATAAACTTCATCTTCAACCTTAAGGACTTAGCTGGCTACGTGAGCTGACGTGCCCCCCCGCCACGCCACGAGAGAAGGGGTTTACGCTCATTGCATTTTCGAGACCCATTTCATCTGCTGCTGCAACTGTGTGCGACAAAGCGTCCTTGTAAATTATTTCATACGGAACTGTTCGCGTCGGGTGGAGAGAGTATTAAATATTTAACATAGGTTTTTGATTTATATGTGTAATTTTTTTTAATTAAAATGTAACTTTTCTTACAGCACATCTTTTTTTGGGATGTGGAACTGAGGTATACAATGTTCTGTTGTAAAGAGTGGAGCAAATGCTTAAAACAAGGCTGACAAGAGTAGAATAGGGTACGATCCTTGTTTTAAGATTGTAATTCAGAAAAAATAATATAATAAGAATCATAGTGCCATAGAGGGTTCTCAACTGTATAGTTATATTTACTGATAATAATCTTGTCTCTTGTAATATAGCCCTGATGTTGAGCTGAGATCCTTGCAAGAATTGATCTTAATTTTGTATTTTTTTTTTTCTGTAAGGCTATAGGCCATGTTAATTAAACTGAAGAAGGCTATATTCTGCTGGGTATTTTCAAGTGTCAGCTTAAAATTGGCAATCGAATGGAAGCAAAATCACAAGAAAAGGAAATCAGAGTCTTCCATTGTATATACTGTAAAGAGGAGGAGACATGGGGGATCCCTTTGAATCAAAAGCTCTCTTTGGAATGAACAATGTGGGTGTTTGTAAATTCTGGAAATTTCTTTCTATTCATAATAAACTAGAGACTGTTGATCTTTTCTTCTCCCCCTCCCCCCACTTCTCTAAGCTTCCTGTTCTGTTGCCACCATTTTTTCCCCCATGCACACGTTAGGATATTTCATTTCCTGCATTGTCTCAAGAAAGATGCAAGACAAGTGAGTACTTGTCTTTAATTTCTAGCCAGAAATTAAAATTCCAGAAAGTGTTTTTTTTTTTTTTATCATGCCCAGGGCTGCATGTCACTTTCCTTAAGACTCTTTACTCCTGTTTTTTGAGAACATCCAGTTTTACATTATTTAACTGAGTGGAATTTGGTCCATTTGCCCTGGTGGCTACTGGCCTGTTGCTGATTAGTTAATAAAACCCAGTGTGCAGAGAGCACATCAAAGCATCATGACCTGCCATTGAAACATGCAGCCAGCGGTGAAAATACTCACCCTTTTCTGGTTTGGAGAGCCCACACATCTTGGAATTTTTCCTTGTGAAAAAGAAATGGCAAGGAAGGTACTTAAAGAAATTGCCTACGGAGTTTTTCATTTTTTTAACCAGGAAACTTCCTAAAGCTTAAGTGAATTAATGCTAAGATTGGGCTCCCTCGGAGTCTGGGTAAACTCTCCATCCGGAATTCCCAGCCCTGCCGTTGCAAGGAGGGACATCTTCTTGCCCTGAAGGCTGCAGCTCCCGGGTGGGGGCGGGGCCCCCAGGAAGCGGCCAGGGTTGGGGGCCATTGCAATGGCCGCTGCCCCTCACCAACTAGCAGGGGACCCTGTTCCACAATCCAGGGCGTGGAGCCTAGCAGAACCCCTCCCACTGCTGAGGCCTGTGTTACTGTTAATTCAGCTGGATGGCATGTACCTCACAGTGTTCATTGTTGCAGATCCTAGTCATCTGCATGCTCATCAGTTTCTAAAGATAAATAGGTCCGTAGTCATAAGAATGCATTGTTTTCAAGGAACTTGCTGAATTACATCATTTCCTATCAAGAGAGAACACTACCAATTTAAAAAATCTGATAGGAAAGTGTTTTTTTTTTCACTCTTTTATAAAAAAAGACTTTCTTAGTCAAACTAACTTTCATTTTTCAAGTATTCTGACTCATACTCTTGCTTGTGGAGCAAGAGAACAAGCTGTCCTGCTCTCTTCCGTTGAGGACATAAGTGGTTAGCGAGAAATCAATGAGCAGAATCCGCCCCAATCATTTTCCTGCAAAGGTGGTTATTACTTCTCTAGGAACCTAAGCCTTGAATATGTATGACCAAGATACCTCTGCATGTGGCATTATCAGCCTATTTTGGGTGAGAACAAGAAATGAACCAGACTGGAAAAAGCATCTCTTGGTTTCTGTTTCTCTGATGCTTTGTTGAAGTCAAATAGCATTAAGGTAGAAATTCTTATTTAAGCTGCTTCTAGTGGTCCCTGAGCTGGGTTTGGGGGTGGTCTCAAACTTCACCCCTTTTTAAAACTGGAAGTTGCTGGTATTTAAGGCAGAAACTTGTGCTCTGTCTACATGAGGGGTGGACCCGGAGCAAGGGGTGGACACAGCTGCTAAGCTCTTGTATTCGGTTCCTCTTAAGGACACTTGCCTTTTATCCATTTCAAAGCATTTGTGGGCCAGCCAAGGGCTTACTTTAATGGGTCTTCTGGTGGCCTCTGGTTAACCTATAAGTTAGTGGCTTTTTCTTCATGAGACCAGCCATTCACAGTGTTCCTTCTAAGAGACTTAGGCAGAGTTTTAAAATTCTCCTTTGTGGAGAGAACAAATATGTTTCACCACTTTGATGATAATCTTCATTCTGAGTGAAAAAAAAGTCCCAGAACCAGCTAAAATGGAAGAGAATCCATTAATGATCAACCACCTGAGTCAATAATGACAGTTCAGTACTGATGATACATTTGTGGCTATTTCTTGCTAACTTTCAAAGGTCAGGGACTCTCTTGACTAATCTAGGTTGACTGCAAAATTGAATTTTCCAAAAATCATCTAGCCAGAAGTAGAGATTTTTAACTTTCCTTTCCCTACCTCTTGTCTCCTCGCTGTCTTTTAAATCTGAGACATTTAAAGTACTAAGCAATGTTACGATACTGTAAGAAATAGTAATGAACAATGCTGAAGCCCTGTTTTGTCCCACCTTGCATCCTGAACGCAGTATGCTGTGTACTGGACAACTTACTTACTGCAGGTAGTTTCAAAATGGGAGAGGGGAGCCCATTGTCCACTGACGACAAGCAGGGAAAGTGGGGATCATGTGTAGTGTTCGACTACTTTGGCAGAGGTCTGTAGGTCAGCCCATCACACAAGGAGGCGCTGAAAGCAGAAACACTGGGAAATAAGACCTTGACTGGGGAGAGACAGGACCCTCTGGCAGGCATGGGAAGGAGCCAGATATGGACTCTCCTTTGCAATGACTTGACGGGGGAGTGGGTGTTCCTGGGGCCTCATTATGTTAGTTGGAGGTAATGCTGCATTCGTATAGGATATTGGGAAATTTGAGAGCAAGAAGCATGCACTTCCAGGGATGTGAGGAAATAAGACCTCGCCAATAATAAGAGAAAGACGGCCGCTCAGTGAGCTTAGTCATGGAGGGCAAATATAGCCTTGTGATCAGCAGAACACAGGGGTTAAGCACTGGTGCCTTTGGTCCCTTCAAAGACAAGCCTGAGAAGATAGTGGGGGTCCTTCGGTAGCCCTGCAGATCAGTCCCCTAAGGGTGCAGAGGCAAGGTGTGAGTCAGAAGGCATGTTGAGTTCCTTCCCTGCTTGTAACCAGAGCATCAAATCAGGCACTGGGAGGACATGGAGGGATACTGGAGGTGTCTGACTCTAATGAATTCTAATCAGTAATCAAGAGCTTAGAATTATCTAATACGATTAGAAAAACATGCAGCGTAGCTGGAGAGTCATCTTCCTTTTCCTCATCCGTCAATGACATGGCTCTGTGATGTCCACACCAAGTCATCTGGTGTTGTAGACTTTTGCTATTTACCTGGCGTTTCAATCTCGTTGTCTTCATTGTAAATTTCCCCAGTGTTAACCAATATACCACTTGCTGGGACGAATTCGGGAAACAGGAAAACTTCTCTGTATGTGTATAGACATCATTAGTGCTGGGTTTTTTGTTTTTCTTTCTTTCTTTTCTTTTCTTTTCTTTTTTAGAACTTTGCTGTTCGGCTTAAGAATGTAGTTCCTGGAACAATTTTTCTTACAAAGTTCTTTCCTTACACCTCTTGGCTGCAGGGTGGGCCAAATTAAATACATATCTTTTTTTTTTTCATTTAACATCTGTGCAGTTTGGTTTATCATCTTAAGATGGTGGTGCTGTTTATGGTGCTACTTCATCTGTGTTCAAAAGGACCAATGCATGGTCTATATTGCTACCAAAACATTTATTGTATATATGTGTATAACATATGTATTATGTATATATGTAATGGGTACCAGGCCAGGTATATATTTTTATTTAGATCCACTTTTTCCAAGTTTTCTTTATAGTGTTATGCTTATTTTCAGTTTTTTTCTCCCCTCCTTGATTCTGTCTGGTACTTAGATCTGTAGTGTCTTCATCGTTAATTAAAGAAAACTGTCTAAATGATTTCACGGATGTGAATGCTAGTGCTCCTTCATGGATTTGCTTATGGGACATGAACCAGAAACTGCTGATAAAAGTTTTCAGGGGCATTTGATTGGGTGAGAGCAGTGTAACACCTTGTAACGTACTTTAATAAACAATTTTGCAACAGATAGGTTTGCCTGAACCCTGTCCCTCTTCACTTGGCTTTCAGTGGCCAAGAGTATAAAGAAAAAGACCTGAAAAGATTCTGAGTTGCTTTTGGTGGTGGTGGTGTGATGGGAAGAGGGAAAGGGGAACGAAAATCCATCCTTCCCAGGGGCAGAGAGATGTGTTCTGCTGGGAGACACCAGGACCGCCTTATTAACCTCCAGTCTGCAGACCGATGCCCCAAGCACTTGTCCTGATGCAGATTGTCACTGAGGGGTCTGGGGATGGGGCCTGAGATGGGTAGCATCATCTGGGTAGCTTTCAGAAAAACATCTATGGTCAGGCCAACTCCAGAGATGCTGACTTACTTGGTCTGGGGTGGGGTCCAGGCTTCGGTGCTGCTGCTGCTTTCTGAGTTCTCCAGGAGACTCCAATTCATGCTCAGAGCTGAGAACCACTGCAGGGAAGTGTTGCCCAAACCTGTCTGATGATGAGAGGCAAGCGTTAGAAACGCCGATTCCACACGTGTTTCAACAGGTGACGCGTGTGGTTGGCAAGAATGGGAAATCCTGATTTCTGAACAAGTGAAGCCTTTTGGATCGTCTCACCACTAGAAGGGATAGAAAGAACACCAGTGACTTTTGAAAATAATAAAACCATGCTGCCGGTGTAGAAACAGCCAACTAGGCTACTCCTCCCGGGTCGAGCTTTCTTGCTTAAACAGTTTAAACAGATGACTGACGTGTCTTGTGTTGTTAGGGTGGACTCAAATTATTAAATGTTTTGGAAACAGATTCAAGATTACTTTTTTAATTAATTAATTTATTTTAATGAGCATGATGTCCTACTGAGAGTAAAAAGACTTGAATTTTCTGTCTTTTCTCTCCTTGTTTGGCACAGCAGGCCAGAGAAGTCTTCCTTCTGCCTGGCCTTGTAAGTGGTATTTTTATTGTTAAGAAACAACACATGACATGATTGAATAAATGCTTAAAGTCATTATTTCATCTTCACTTTATATTAGCTTCCTCCATTTATTCTTAAAAAAAAAACTGATTTTTTTCCCTCCCAGTGGTATTGCAAAGCAAACATCCCTCTACCCGCTATTGAAATTGTAAGTAAACATCATTAATTAGTATTAATTTGAAGGAAGTCTAGTTGAGGGAATTAATGGTGCAATTGATAGCATAATCATGCTATTACCTTAAGACATATACAGAAACAAACTATAGCAGGTAAAATGCTGTCAATAAAATGCCTTTGAGAATTAAGTCAAGGAGAATTGTAATTACTCACTGATTTTGTTATAAACAATAGCAGTGTTGATTCTGCATTTGTTTAAAGTTAGCCATCAGGATTTACATCAGTTATCTCGTTTTTTCCTTCCCACAACCCAGCGGTGGATACGGTCATTATCCCCATTTCCCATCAGGCAAGCAGAAGAGAGGAAGGGTTTGACTACTGTCACGTGCTGCTGCGGGGTGGAGCAGCCTCTCAACCCTGGACTGCTTGATGGCAGTCTGTATTCTCATTGACGCCATTGCAAGTCTCTGGTTTCCGAATCCTTAACAAAAAAATTAATTTCAGTACATTAAAAATACTGTCACTCCAGCGGCCTTGTGTGACTTTTACTGAGCAAATATGATCTCACATGAGCCCGAGAGGAAAGCTCTGTCCAACTTACAACTTTCACCCAACAAAGTAACAAGCCCTTAGCACATTCATTTCCATTCTTTGTGTCTAGCTGAGTTCATTTGTGTCAAAAATCTTTTTCCAATTCCCTGTTTCCTCAAGAAGTTCCCCCCTTTTCAGCAACAGAATACAGACACTCAGCTGTGTTTTAGGAACGCACCAGGGCAGTAGGTGAAATGTGAAAGCCACACACACAGACACACACAAATTCCAAACGCCTGTGTTTTTACACGTCAAGTTTTACATGTCACATCCTGTCAACCTTTTAAATCAGAACTCCTTACATTCAGTGATTAGATAAATGATCAAGACTGGCCATAGAAAAAAAGTAGGGTCATCCGAAGTGGGGAGAGTCCTGACCTGAAGTGAGGGAATGAAGTCCCTCCACCTGGCTAGAACCATAGTAAACAATGTACCCGGCATTTGTAACATATGTTAGTAACAGTGTTGCAGCCTTGTTTTCCGAAGTTCATTTTATTTGGATCAGTTCAATGTATTGCACTAATTGTGTTAGGTCTTCTCATTACATGAAATCTACCATGTGTCAGAGATGATCCAATCAGTTTCGGTGTCGAACTGCTTTAGCAGAACACATACATTCACAGTCATTCAGAATTAGGAAGGAGAACAGCCCATCAGAGTTTAATTTTATATTGAGATGCTCAGGTTGGAATAAAGCAGTATAAAAAGGAAAAAACAAAAAAACCAAAACCCTCCTCAGACTCTCAAATACCCTGCAGGGGAGAAAAAGGGTTTTTCTTCACTCTCTTAAGATCCCTGGTAGGGTCTGAATTTTAAACTGACAAAGACAAAGTACCAAGGGAAAAGCATACAACTTTACACCTCCGAAGTTTTACATGACATGGGAGACTGCCTAAGGAAACCAAGATCTGAAGAAATAGCTTGCTGAGAATTTTCGTTCAAGGTTTGATGAGGAATGGACCCACGAGGAGGAATATGAGAGGTTAAGGAGTTTGAGGTTAGCGTCCCAAAAGGGGAAACTTAGCAAGGCCTGTTTGTTTGCATTCTTCTTGGCGTCTCCTTGTCTTCGGAGATAAGGATGCTCCTTCCCTCTGGGTGTAGGGAGGGCATCTCTCACATGAGGGTTTTATGACCTGTTTCAGGGGAGACGAGCAGGAGAAGGTCACAGTGACCTTCCTGCTTCTGCTGTTTTTGCAAGCTCCTTCAGCTGAAAATACTCAGGGTGCAAAGGGCTGTATTTGGGGGTGTCAGGTCCTGGCAGTGTTTCTCAAAGCCTGGACTTTACACTACCTGTACAGAATTTCCTGAAGGGCTTATAACACAGAGATTTGAACAGGAGCCTCAGGAAACTGCATTAGTAACAAGTTATTTCCTCCAAACACACACACAAGCACACGCACATGCACACGCACACGCACACGCTCCTCTCCAGGGCTGTTCTACACCCTGACCTTGGCGGGGTGTGTTATTGGCAGTCTCTTGGCAGCATGCTTTCTGCTCCCTTCCCTCTGTTAAGTTGTTCCAAATCTCAAGCACCACAACCCCTAACTGTAAATATGAGAGAAGTGATGATTGCTGGATTTCCTCACAGCTTCTGAAAAAAAAAATCTACAAAGTAGGAATTAATAAAATTAGTCTAAACTTATGTAGGAAATAACATAAAAAGAAGAGAACTGGTTAAATTTGCGCATACAGTACATGTAGCATTTTCCTGATTCTGTGAAGCAAAAGCCCAAACAAGACAACACAAAATATCTCAAAGTATAAAAAAGTGGTGCGTCTGATGGCATTAGGGATGGTTTTTATTTTATCTTTTCTACTTTTCTGTAACTTTTGACAATGATTGTGTCTCATTTTCAGAATGAGAAAGGAAGCAAAAAAACAGAGTTTTAGATGAAAATCTTAGATGAGAATCTTAGCGAATTCCCGTAGGTTGGTGTTAGCCCACATCACACCACTCCATGATCAGTGCATCAGGGGCCAGCCAGCTAAGGCCTGAGAGCCAAGTGCAGCCTGTTTTTTGTAAATAAAGTTTTATTGGAACATAGCTGTGCTCATTCATTTACATATTGCCTATGGCACTACAAGAGTAGAGTTGAGTCATTGTGACCAAGACCAAATGGCCCCAAAAGTAATGTACTTACTACCTGATCCTTTATGAAAATGTTTGCCCGGTCCTATGAGAGATGCTTTTCGAGAGAGAGAGAGTTGGGATGAGGCAAAGACCCTTGCCCCAGGCTTCCGAAATTCTCCTGGATCTGTTTCGGGAGCTTTCTGGAGCTCAGTGGTGTTGGATGGTTGATTACTTGCTCTAATCTCTACGGAGTTGATAGTTGAAGTGCTAAAAGGACTTCTTCAGTTTCATCTACAAACACTAAATGCAGTTAGGCATGGAGAGCTGAATCAGACTGAATCTAGGATGATACTTTTTCTTCTTGGTGCTTCAGTTTTTCTAGATGAACAGCCAAAAAAAAAAAAGGAAGGAAGAGAAAGAAAATGCGGGAGAGAGAGAGAGAAAGAGCAGAAATCATCAGTTAAAAGTTTTCTTTTTCAAACAGAGGTTGGGTTTCCTCAAAAGCTTCCAGAGGAGGTTCAGAGTAGATTGTGGTCTCCAGAACAGTGGGACCTTGACCAACAGAGATAGTAAACAGACATCTTTTCCGGTCTCTTTTTCCAACCAGCCATCAGCAGCAATGCTGAGAATGGAAACAGTGCCTGGAGCGTGAATTCTGGTCAGGAAGATAACACCTGATAACCCATGAGACAAAATATTTGAGGCTAAAAAAAGATAAAATATTTGAGGATGGTTGATTCAAAAAAAGAACCCATTGTTATAAATTGTCATTAGATAGGAACACAATTCCTTGGTATTTTTAAATTATAAAGTTCCACTTTTTTTTTTCATTTATCGCACCTGTGAAATTACTGAGTAACTATCATATGCTATGATACGGCCCAACAACCCAGTGCTTTCTCCTTTGGGGTGCCTGTATTTGGAGCCTGGAAATGATCTGGATTGCCTGTTTTATGGATAAGAACACTGGATTTCAGTTCTACCCTCATTTAATGTGACTTTATTTTAAAATCATATTTATACCAGGTTGATTAAAATGGATTTCAAAAGGGCTTTAATGGCCCCGCCTGGTGAGTTTTGGGGTATCTCATGGCCTGGTATGCAGCTGGTGCACAGACTGAGATGTCCTGTCCTGGAGGGTTGCTGAAGTCGGCCTGGAGGGTCAGCTAGGTGGTGAGAGATGGACAGGGACAGTATTGAAATGGGACAGACATAAGGACCAGAAAACTGGAGTGAGGAAATCAGAGCGGCCAGGTGGGAAGGGCTCCCATAGCCAGC